AAGATACACTAGTTGAAAGGAAAAGGGGAAGACGGAAAGAACGGGTTTCCGATTTTGTTAGTTTGCATTAGAGTCTTGTGTAGCTCAGGCTGGCCTCAGATTCCTATGTAGCTGAGGATGACATTGAATTTATACTCCTTCTGTCTCTGCATCCCAAGTTCTGGAATTACAGACTTTTATCACCACACTCAGTATACGCTGTACTGGGGGTGGATCCCAGAGCAAAAACTGTTACCAACTGAGTGGCATCTCTAGCTCAGGGAGGACAGATTCCCGTCAAATTCCATCCTGACCTGCCAATGTTTTCTTCTGTCAGTGCATCTGATACCTGGACAAGGTCTAAAGATGTTATGTGACTAAATTCTAAAGCTGAAGATCAGTACAACCAACAGACAGTCCAACATTAGGCAACATGAATTCCGACTTGAAGGGCCTCCTCTCCTCTTTTATGAGGGCCCAGGAGCATTTCTTAGCTGGGTGGTGGGGGATGGGGCATGGATTGATTAAAGGTCTCCACCCTCGTTTCTAAATGTTTTCATTAATTCTCAAAGAACAGGGAATAACCAATCCCTGTCGTGCATGACATTGAAGTTTAGACATGTGTCACACCTGTGTGTGGAAGGAAGTAGGCATTGTGTGCTGGGCAGATTCCTGTGTGTGTGTCCTGTATTAATCTGTGAAGTCTGCTGACTGTACACTTTCAAAAGCAGATGATTGGGTCATTGAGATATTGTTGGTTCAGTGGTGAATCGTGTCAAATTGATGGAACTAAGGAATACCTAGGACACGGGGTTGGAGGGACGGTTCAGCAGTTAAGAGCTCTTGTTGCTCTCCCAGGGGTCCTGGGTTCGATTCCCAGCACCCACATGAACTGCAGTCCCAGGGGAACTGAGGTCTTTGTCTCACTTCTTTGGGCACAGGCTTGCACATGGTGCAGACATGCAAGAAGACAAAACAGTTATGCACATAATATTTTTAAAAATCTAAAAAGAAATGCCCAGGATATTAGCGAGGCACACCATTGAATGGTGTGTCTGTGAAGAAACATCTAGAAAGGATGAACTGAAGGGAAGACCCACACGGAATGTGACATCATCAGTCTGTAGGCTGGGGTCCTTGACTGAATAAGGAAAAAGAGAAACCAGCCCAGACGAGGGGTGGCATTCCCTTTCCTCCGCTTCCTGGCCCACTGAAATGGGAGCAAGCCGCCTCACTTCCCTGCTGCCGCATCTTCCCCGCCCAAGTGGACTACATAACCTCAGAACGCAAACCCAAATCAGCTCTTGCTCCCTTCAGTTGCTTTTCATTGGCTGTTTGGCCATACCAACGAGAAAAGTCACTAACACCGCGGGGAGCTGACGTACTCACAGGACACTGGGCAGAACTGAGGACACACACTAGGGACTCCCTGCTCTAGCTCCATCTAAGCTCGTCTCACCCTGTGATCTTAAAGCGCAGTTCAGTCTGCAAAGCTGCAGCAGAGCCACCGACTCTGGACACTGCATCTCTCCCCAGTTGGCATGAAGAAAATTAACACATATTAAAAGGGAATTTTTGAAGACTCAGAACTGCCATTCTCCCAGAAAATCTCTTAGCCTCCCAGCACCTGGAGAGAGCAAATGAAAGCCAGCGCAAAGGGACGGATTTGACCCCGTGTGCCTTTAAAAGGTCAAATGCAATTAGAGCGAATTAAAATGATCTGTTTGAGTAGATGAGCTACTTTAACACCAGCTCTCGGGCCTCAGAAACAAACCTAGCTTGGCTTCCGATTGATAGCATCGTATTTAACTTTTAGGCTTGGCTGTGAAATTTGGCCCAGTGTGTGTTTGTTTTGTAAGGCCTATAAAAGTGGGAGAGGATTCCTTCTGGGACGGTCTGAGTTCCAGCTCAGGTTGTGACTTACAGGTTGTGTGACCTTGGACAAGCTAGTCAATCCATCCCACCTACAGTCAACTTGACAATGAAGGAAACAGCGTCTGCTCTGTCTGCCTCCTAGGGAGCTGTGAAGCTCAAATGAGGTGGGAACTGTACCGGCCACACAAATGGCCAGGGCCAGCGGATTCACAGATAGAATCCCTTCTGCCTCGCTGCCAAATCTCTATTGAATATGCATACTGTGGATCTCACTTAACCCCTATTCTTGCAACAAGACCCTTTGAAAGTATCCTCTTTAGAACTGAAATCACGCTATGTTTAGCTGGCCTATCCTCCCACCCCCCGCCAACAACAGGATATTTATCTCTGAGACAAGGAAACAGCTAAAACCATGAAGAAAAGGAGGCCCAGAGAGATTGTAACCTCGGGCACAAAACCCTCACCGTCCTGATGGGCTTTCTCTCCTTGGTGAACCTGCCATTTAAATCCAACGCCATACATTCTGGTATAAAATTAAGCTCCAGAAGACGGGTGAGGTGCACATCTGTAAATCTCAACATCTGAGAGGTGAAGGCAAGGAGATCTGGGAATTTGTGGATATCCTTGGCTATGTAAAATATCCAAGGGTAGGGCCACCAGGAGGCACTGCTGCCAAGCCTGACAACCTGAGTTCGATCCCCGGGACCCTGCATAGTTTCATGTCAGCTGGGCACAAGCTAAAGTCCTATGAGAGCAGGAACCTCAATTAGGAAAATGCCTCCATAAGATCAGGTTGTAGGCAAGCCTATAGGGCATTTTATTGATCAGCGACTGAGGGGGAGGGCTGAGCCCACGGTGGGTGGTGCCACTCTGGGCTGGTGGTCCTGGGTTCTATAAGAAATCAGGCTGAACAAACCATGGTGAGCAAGCCAGTAAGCAGCTCTCCTCCAGGGCATCAGCATCAGCTCCTGCCTCCAGGTTCCTGCCATGTTTGAGTTCCTGCCCTGACTCCTTCAATGATGAACTGTGACAGGGATGTGTGAGCCAAATAAACCCTTTCCTCCCCAAGCTGCTTGGGCCACGGGGTTTTAGGACACTAACTGTAACCCTAACTGAGACAGCCCACATGGGGGAAGAATAGAATTTGAGTTTTTCAAGTTGTACTCTGGCCTCCACATGTACCCCACAGCACATGCACCCGCTCGCACACACGTACACACATGCATGAACGTACACACACACACATACAGAAGCACACGCACACAGCCACCCACACATATATGCACTCAACAAATCAGTGTAATTTTTAAAAAGAACGTTCAGGGCAGGAGAGAGATGGTTCAGCAGTTAAGAGCACTTGCTGCTCTGTTGAAGGACCCAGGTTCAATTCTCAGGCTCACACCCATCTGTAAGGCTGATTCCAGAGGACCTGATGCCTTCTTCTGGGCTCAGTGGATATGAGGCATGTGCTTGGTGGATAGACAGACAGACAGACAGACAAGCAGATCTCTCATACAGACAAAAATAAACTCCACATACACACAGTTCCAAACCCAACCCGGGCAGTGTGAGACCCTACCCCAAACAAACAGAGAAAACAAGCACCACGGTTATAAATTCGCTGACCTTCTGTTCTGTATCTTCTTCCGGAAGTGTTGAGTTCAGGTTACCACCCAAGTCCTGCTGGTCCAGCTTGGATTTGTGTGTGCTGGGCCGCCAAAATGTATTTGGCAAATATTTACAAAGGAAGAAAAGGATGGCGTAGGCTACAATCGTTCTTTCTTCCTGCTGAGTTTCTGGAGTCCCGGGATTGAAAGCACTGAGTTCACCATATTCCAGCAACCCTGAGATACTGCTGCTTCTGAGACCGTTAAGATACGACACAGGGGTTCCTTGCCATCTCAACACTTGGATTTTATAGATGCTAAGTGGGGAAGTCACGCATCTTAGGATAGATAGCACAGTGTGTTTTTTACCAAAGTAAAGCTCTGAAAGGCCCGATTAGCAGACCTCAACTGTCTCGTGATCAGCCCCAGCTCCTTGCTGTCATACATGCTGTCGGATCATGCTTCAGTGTGGCTGCAAGGGGACATTCATTCTGCTTCGCTTGTAGATACAGTAACAATCAATTGTAGGCGCGGACCATGAAATACTTGGCAGAACAAAAGCAACCAGGACAGAGAAACACTTCTCAGAATGACAGCAATCGGTTCTGTGGCTCAAAGGAAGGCTTGAAGGGCCAGAACTGAGCGCTGAGCGCTGAGTCCTGCTCGCCACATCAGCTGTGCCTCCTCGCTCGAGTAGTGCTTCTTGTTGTTGGACTACATGCTTGGTTTGTGGGCCATGCTGCTGTTTCCGGGTTCCACTTCAGGGAAAGCGGCTGGACAGCAAGTGCCCTGGTGTGGGAAAGTGTGGACAGGTGTGTGTGTGTGTGTGTGTGTGTGTGTGTGTGAAAGAGAGAGAGAGAGAGAGAGAGAGAGAGAGAGAGAGAGAGAGAGAACGACGCAACACATCACCTGCTGGGCTAAAGATGGTATTTATACAGTGCAATGAGAGTTTTCAGACTCCTTTTGATCTTTTGAGCAGAAGGAGAGCTAGAAATAAAGCTTTGTTTTTTGTTTGTTTGTTTTTTGATGGGTCAGCCCCTTCATTTAGAATGTTCTTGTTCTTAAATTCTTCTGTCGGGGCAAGAAAAACGCCCATTTTTAGCGGTTTGTTGTTGTCCGTCTGTCTTGTTTTCTGAACAGTCTGGGATAGCCGGAACTGACCTTGAACTTCTAACCCTTGAACTGAGGGCTTTGAGCATGCTATACAAGCACTCCCCCAGCTGGGTTACATGGCCAGCCTTAGTCCGTTCTTTAGTTACGCCATCCCTCCCCTCCACAGGACATTACATATACACAACATCAGAGAGAATCACATACAAATGTACTTCTAAGGGACTAAACCACAGCGAGGTGGGGGAGAAATTATTGTAGTTCTCCTAGGGGCTTTTTAATCTGTGGGTACTACGATAACTTGCTCCTTGCCAGGGTCCTTGGGCCGTTATGGTAATGCAGGGTGTCGGTAGCCCCCACAGCGGGCAGGAACTGTCGATGTCTAACCACTGACGATGGGCCTTCTGCCTGCTCCTGTCTCCCTTGCAGTCAGAGTACCACTTTGAATACACGGCGTGCGACAGCATGGGTTCCAGGTGGAGGGTCGCCGTGCCACACACCCCGGGCCTGTGCACCAGCCTCCCCGACCCCGTCAAGGGCACCGAGTGCTGTAAGCAGCCTTCCTGTCCCAGGGTCTCCCCGATCCTTAACCCCTAGCCTTCCGTGCCAGGCTGTTCTTGATGGGACAGATGCCAGATCTTTCGTCCACTGCCAACCCTTCTGGAACGTGGTGCAGAAATTTTATTTAGCCAGGTGTGGTGGCAAAGGCCTTTAAGCCCAGCACTTAGGTAGTAGAGGCAGGTGGATCTCAGTTAGAGACCAGCCTGGTCTACACAGTGAGCTCCAGGACAGCCAGGACTATAGAGAGAGAGACCTTGTCTCAAAAAACTAAAAACAAAACCATACAAAAAAAAAAACCCAAAAAACAAAAAACAAAACACACACACACAAAACAAAAGAACAAAAAGAAAGAAATGTTATTTAATAGATTCAACCTGAGTGTCTGAATTTGCTTTTATTTTTTAATTTAGATCCAATGAGTACAATATAAACAATTCTAGATGCCTGGCACTCAGTGCATGTGCCACACCCTTCATTTTTCTATTCTGCCTGTCTGTGCATTTCTCTCTGATCTGCACCTACCAGCCTCAGCAGTCTTCTGGGAATCTTGCAATTTGCTTTTCTTTTGAAAAGGAATCTGAAGAAATAAACTTGTACAGATACTGTTTTTTTTCTTTTGTTTTGTTTTTGTTTTTAATGTACTGGGCATCACTTCAGGGAGCAAGAACCTTGCAGTGTGACCAGAAGGGCAGTGACTGCAGCTCCCATCCCAATTCTGAGACTCACTCCTCACAGATTTCTATATCCTGTGTCCTGTTCCTTTAGAAATGCAAAGGGAATAACAATAAATTCCAGAAACTAGAGATGACAGATCATTGAAAAAGTTGCAAAGGAGATTAAGTACTTTTAATTCCCACCTCAGTTTAGCCCAATCTTTCGTCCTTCCTTCCTTCCTTCCTTCCTTCCTTCCTTCCTCCCTTCCTTCCTTCCTCTTTCCCTCCCTTCTTCCTCCCTCCCTCCTTCCCCTCTCCTTCCTTCCTTCTTTTCTTCCCTCCCTCTTTCTTCCCTCCTTCCTTTTTCCCTCCCTCCCTCCTCCCTTCTTCCCTCCTTTTTTCTTCCCTCTCT